TGCAAATTAGGGCTTTTGTTTAAAAAGGTCTGGTCCATAGGATCTTTTTGATTAAAAATAATATTTGGGGCCTGGGAAGGTGGCTCAGTGGTAGAGTGCTTGCTTTGCATGCATGAGGCCCTGGGTTCGATTCCTCAGCGCCAAATAAGGAGAAAAAAAGCCAGAAGTGGTGCTGTGGCTTGAGTGGTAGAGGGCTAGCCTTGAGCTGAAGAGCTAAGGGACAGCGCCCAGGCCCAGCGTTCAGGCCCCACGACCAACCAAAAAATAATAAATTTAACAACATAGACGTATTTCTTGACATAAAAAGTTATAAAGTTGGTCACCGACAGCCCAGCTCCTTGCCTGACAATCAAACCATGTTTTGATCTATTTGTGCTGCTTCAGAGGAATTTATACCTGAGTGCTGGAAACTTAATCCTGGAGCCCATGTCCAAAACTTACTTTACCAGGCTCTCTACAGTAAGACCTAGTTCTATCTCTTTTTCATTTTCTTCCTTTTAAAGTTCAGACTTACAAAACAATGACAGAAATAATAAAATTCCCATGAACTTTTTAACTCAGCTTTCCCCTAACAATTGTCACACAACAATCAAAACCAGAAAATTACCATCTACACATTAATAAATCTACAGACTTTACTCAGATATCCCCAGTGGTCCATCTACCTCTTCTCATATTCCAGGACCCCACTTGACTTTACAGCTCATTTTAATATCAGGCAGAGCTAGTCTTCCCTCCTTTTTGGGGGGGGTCCAGTCGTGGGGCCTAAACTCTGGGCCTGGGTGCTGTCCCTCAGCTCTTCAGCTCAAGGCTAGCACTCTACCACTTGAGCCACAGAGCCACTTCCAGCTTTTTTCTTTTTGCTTATGTGGTGCTGAGGAATCGAACCTAGGGCCTCATGCATGCAAGACAAGTGCTCTACCACTGAGCTACCTTCCCAGCCCTCTTCTCTCCTTTTGTCTCAGTTTTTCCTAGCTATTCTAGCTAGCATGCTTATTTCCTATATTAGATTTACCAACTACATGAAACAAAAAGATTGGTTTTGGTTCTTGTCACCATGGGGCTTGAACTCTGGACCTGGGTGCTGTCCCTCAGCTCTTCAGCTCAAGGCTAGCGTGCTACCACTTGAGCCACAGCATCACTTCCAGCTTTTTCTTTTCTTTTTGCTTACGTGGTGCTGAGGAATCGAATTCAGGGCCTCATGCATGCAAGGCAAGCGCTCTACCACTGAGCCACCTTCCCAGCCCAAGATTGTTATTTTTTTATGCCAGTACTGGGCTTGAACTCAGGGTGTCAAGCTGTCCTCTAGCTTTTTTGTTGCTGTTGTTCAAAGTTAGCACTCTACCACTGGAGACACACCTCCACTACCAGCATTTTGCTGACTGGACATAAGAGTCTCATGGATGTTTTCTGCTTGGGATGGCTTTGAACCTCAATCCTCAGATCCCAGCCTCCTGAGAAGCTAGGATTATAAGCATAAGCCACCAGTGCCTGCATATTGGTATTTTTATAATACACTATATTTATAAATTAACTTGTGGAAAAGTAGCATCATAAAGAAGTTGAGTTTTGTTATCCAGAATCAGGGGCTATCTTCCCACTTTGCATGTTTCTGTCTCCCAGAAGTGCAGCAAAAATTTCCTTTTATAGGTTTTGCACATTTCTTATGAAGTCCATTCCTAAGAATTTTATCTTCCTTGTTGCTCTTCTTCTCAGAGTTTGTTCTGGTTTGGTTTGGGTTTTGGTGGTGGTGGTGGTGGTTTGTTTTGGTTTGGGTTTGGGGGTTTTTTTGTCGGTCATGGGGCTTGAACTCTGGGCCTGGGCACTGTCCCCATGCTCTTCAACTTAAAGTGAGCGCTCTACCGCTTGAGCCACAGCACTACTTTGGGTTTTCTAGTGGTATTTATTGGAGATCAGAGTTTCATGGACTTTTCTGCCTGGGCTGGCTTTGAACTGTGATCCTCAGATCTCAGCTTCCTGAGTAGCTAGGATTACAGGTGTGAGCCTCTGGTGCTGGTTTGTTGGTTTGTTTTTTAAGATATTAGTTATTTAAAAAAAAAAGACATTAGTTACCAACCACCTACTATGCCTTAAGCTTCATACTATTCCTGCTTTATGGAGGAGAAAATGAGAGCTCCAAGCCCACACATTCTGTTTAGATCCCCATCTGCCTGGCTTCAAAACTTACACTTCCTTCACACCAAGAAACACCCAAGAATAGAACTGGGCTTCGAAGCTGAGGAAGCAGAAACCAGCCTAAGTGTGTCCCTTCTAAGGGTATGAGTGCCCCCTTAGGGGGTCAGCAATTTTTAACATCAGTAGGGCATTCAAAGGAACTTCTCCAGGATTTTATACCCAGCCAAACTGGCCCTTCAGAACACTGACAATATATCAATGCAAAATTATGTAAAAACACAACTAATGCTGTTCCTCTTCTGTTGAGATTCAGAGTGTAATAAGACTGTGTATGTGTGTGTATGTACATACACACATACACACACACATGCTGCAAGCTGTAGCAGATCTACAGACCAGATTCTCCAGGCTTCCATTCTGCACTCTTAAAGCCTTCCCAGTGGTGGGATAGGAGCTAGGTGAGAGGCAGACAAAGAGTGTGAGGACTGACAGGGATTGTGGGACTGGCATACTGGACTGGTATACTAGACATGCTGCCCCTGTGGTGGGCTCCTCTATCTCCAGGGGACTCCAGGTTGAGTGTCAGGTAACAGGAAGGAGTACAAGGCACCCACTGCAATTGGGTGTCTTGGAAGCCATGTTCAGGTCAAGCAGTGGTGGGCCCAACCTTTCCTTCCTCATTCTCCTGAGCCAGGGGTGGAGAGCGCTGGGCTAACACAGAGGTCCGGATCTAATGGAGGAGGCAGGCCTCACCCACAGAGAACCACTTGAAGCCACAGCATGTGCTAGGGACTTCAGTCCTCTAAGAGCAATAACAGAATCAGTGTAAGAACTGTCTCTGTCTGTTCCCACAGGAGTCTTAAATTAATTCCTGAAGAGAAGGGGGCCTTGTCAGGCATCATATTATTGCTTTTGTGAAAACAAATTCCACAAGGGCTTAGTGAGCGAATAAGCTAGCAAGTCTGAGGTTATCATGTCACCCTGTGACCTGGGGGAAAATTGAGGTAGGTTGTTCACATCTAGCAGCAATGCCCTACTGTCTTCTGTTATAAGGATAAACTGTCCTACCTGGCTCCCTACCCATAGGCTTGAGCCAGGCCTCCACTTCTGGCTTCCCACTGCTTAATTTGAAATATGAGTCTCACCTCTTTTGACTGGCTTCAAGTCATAATCCTCAGATCTGGGCCTCTTGAGTAGCGCGGATGATAGATGCGATAGGGGTTTAAAGTGCTCCTCTTCTGCCCTTCAAAATCACATGTCCTGGTGTGTACCAAGGAAGGATATCGAGACAAAGAGAAAAACAAAACATAGGGTAAAATAAAGGTATCTGTGAGCAAGTCAAAGCTAATCATTATTTCTCCCCTCCACTTGCCTACTAGATTCACATCCAAGAGTCTTCTGGAATCTTCTTTGCCTTTCCTCATCTCACACCTGTCCCTAACTCTATCCACAGCCCTGGCTCTGGGCTTGGAGATTTCCCACTCTAACTTCTTCCTACTCCTCCGCCTGGGCTCCCCAAGCCTAGTTCAAGACCCCGAGTCCAGCTTTCTTCTCTTGTTCACCCACCAGCTGTCACCGTGGCGAGCTCCGGCTGCAGCGACCACTCCCGTGGTCAGGACTGGGGATCCCAGCGGGGCCGGTTCCCCCCCACCCCCTGCCATGTCCGCTCCCGCTCTCCCCACCCTGGCACCCGCAGCAGTTTCCTGCTTTTGGGGTACACTGGGCGCATCGCACCTGTGAACGTCTGCACCTTCTGCTCACTTCTGGCCGGTGCTCCACTGCACACATCCGGGACCTTTGGTGGAGTCTTGGGCAGCTGGGAGCGACGGAGCCACGCCCCCTTCCACGTGTCCCCGCCCATCACGCCCCTTCCACTCTCTCCGGGCAGCGTGTGCTGCCACAGGTGCGGCGGGCATTGTCTCTTTAGTGGTGGAGAGTGCCCTGTAGTCGAGTTGTCCTCTTGGCAGCATGTCAGCTGCATAACTTGAGGGTCCTGAGTTCGAATTCAGAGAGGGCACGGTCCTTTGCCATGCTATATGGGCTGTCCCCCAGCAACGTGCATCGAGGTGAAAAAGAGGCTCAGAAAGATGCTCCAACTGCACCAGGGACCCCGGGACACACCCCCCAACTTGGGAACCATGTGTCAAGGGGGTGTACTCCACTCTCCTCCACAGGACTGCGAATATAAATAAGGTTGGAGGTCCTCGTGCAAGTCGTTTAAAATCACAAAAGAAATGTCCATTACAGCTCTTCCAGGAATTAAATCTGCAAGTTAGAAGGCCACACTTGCTGTGGGGGAATCTGGGAGGTGGACCCTTCTTGAGACTAATGACATCGATCCCACTTCTTTTGTAATATCCATGAAAATGCATCTCCTGGACTACCTGTAGTCTAGGAAGTCTTTTCCAAACCATTTCAGTTCCTGGTTGATGGAATCAATGCATGATTGAGCCATGGATACAAGACTGTACTTTTTCTTGTTACTTGGTCTAAGCTCCTCTCCCCAACCTGGGAGAGTGGAGTTCACTCTATCTGCATTTGCTAAGCAGAAACATCACCCATCCAGCACAGGGACTTCCTTTGTTCCCTGAAAGAAACAGACATGCATCCAAGCTAATTTTGTGTTTACTTTGCTAGTTTATTCATTACAATTATATTTCACAAACTTCCCTATCCAAACCTAGAAACCAGTGGTAGAAAAATAACAAAGGAAAAGCCACAAACCACATAATATAAACCCGGGAGTCCGGGCTGGAGGTGTAGGAAGGGGATGGACGACCAATTATCAAGGCCGAGATGGAGGAGGTACTGAAACTTTCTGGAACCCTGAACTGAGCTCTTCTTTGAGCCATGGCCCAGGATCCTCAGTACAAGAGCTGGTAAACTGTGGCGGTATTCTTGGAGCCTGTGACCAGATACTTGTTATCCGAGGAAATATCACAACACAGAATGTCCGAAGACTCCTCTGCCTAGAAGGAAAGAGGGGGTGAGGCAAGGACTGTTAGAACTGTTTGGTTTGCAGAGACCTAAGGCTCGCTCTGCAAACAAGACCAAGGCATAGGGCTCAAGGTGGAGCCCATGAGTTCAGTGTCCCCTACTTTATTAAATGCCAGCTCAGAGGTGCTTTCCTGCACCCTCTCGATCCACCAAGTAGGTTCAGGACCCACAAGTACCCAGTGCTTTGACTCTATACACACACCCTCCCTTCCCATACCTGAAACAACCTTTGTAGACTCGGGGCCTCTATGCAATGGACGGATTCATCTTGTGTAGATACAAAATAGGTCCCTGGGAAAGAAATAGACAAGGAGGCCAGAGATTTGAGGCTGTGTTGTCATTCCAGCTCTGCCCTGAACTAGACTGAAGAGAGAGAGGACAACTCTTTTTCTGCCTCAGTTTCCTTGCCTATGAAAATCAGAAACATAACCTAGGCCATTCTCTGCCGCAACCCTCCCGCCATGCAGAGGATCAGGGGTACCACTGAACCAAATGGACCATCACACAGGGCTGTGTGCCTCTTCCGTCTTTCTCTCTGTCTGCATCTTCTGTGTCATTCAGTACAAGAAGCTCTCGCATTACAGGAAAAGGAGGACAAGAGAAAGACAATACAAAAGTGAGTTTCCCCCCACACACATACACACAAATGTCTACAGCAGCCTCCTGGTGTATCACTCACCACTGGAAGCAAACTTGAGGTTGTGGTGATGGGTGTATCTTTGTATCACAGCCTTAAACTTCTCATCTCGATGAGCGTGCAGGATTACAATGTCACTCATTTTCAGGCCCGCTAACACCCACTCCTCACCGGGGTCATGCGTTATGCAGAGGATCTGGTTAGAAAATGGTTGGAGGTCAGTATTCCACGTTCCCAGGGCCATCCTTACATGCTTGAATCTGTGACCTCTGACCCCACCTCCCCCTCCCCCCCCCATGCCTAGCCATCCAAAGCTCCGCAGGGGATGCACCAGTCCTGAGGACCAACAGGTACCTCATTACTTAAGTGATGCTGCTGCAGCCTCTGGTAACTCCTCAGGTCCCAGGAATACAAGATGGTGTCTTCACCACCCGTCCAGAACTTGTGGCCTGTGATGTCCACACAGCGGGAGCCATAGACGGGCACTTCATGTTTCCTGGTGGGAAAACAACTCAGGTCCACAGACAAGCATGGCGGCCCCACCCGTGGCACCCAAGGAGAGGAGGGTAGGGCAGGGCCTTGCAGGCCAGCTGTGCTCAGTGGGAGTGGGTCTGGAGGGGACAGGCCCTACCTGATCAAGATTTGGTTCTGCACATCCCAGATCTCCACAAATCCTTTGAAGCAAGCCAAGCAGATGTGGGCATCCGAGGAGACGGCCAGGGAATAGCAAATGGGGCCTGTGGAGGCCAGCTGTGCTTTGACCTGGGGTGTGGGCGCCAGGTCCCAGAGCGTCAGCGTCTGCGCCACGCCTCCGGTGATGAGGCTCTGCTCGTCAGGGAAGAGCTTGCAGGTGAGGACCCGGTTCTGCCGGTTCTGAAGCAATAGTGCAGACTCCGTTAACCCCCCCTCCCGCCACAGCACCGAGGACAGAGGGCTGGTGTCGGCCTCCCCAAAGCTCCCCAAAGCCATGCCTGAAAGTCCAGCTGGGCCTTCGGGGTCCTGTCGAAGGCGTGCAGAGCGCTGTCGTCCCACACCCTGATGTAGCCCGAGCCGCACGTGTACACGTGGTGGGGGGCGCGGCTGACGGCAATGGCGTTGACCCTCTTCCCGTGGAGCAGCGTGCCCACCTTGCAGAAATCGCCCGGGGCCCTCCTGACCATCACCTCAGGCGGGACTGGGGGCTGAGGAGAGGACAGGGCGGGGGCGGGGGGAGGCTCAGCGTGCTTCCTTCCTGCAGCCGGACTCCTCCACAGCACAGCAGATCTCAGAACACAACCTGGCCCTGGGGTGCCCCAGAGCACAGCTCTCTAGAAGAAGCCACAGCATGGCACCCTGATGCTGGAGTCAGGATGGGGGACTGAGCAGAGCAGCTGTGTTTAGAAGAAGGGGGCTCCCCCCAGGACACCACCAACTACGCAAGCATGGGCACACACTCCCACTTCTCAATGGACAGAGGGGAGGGGGGCACCTGAGAGGCAAATACACCCCGGAAGACACTTACAATGTTCCTGAGGAATGACCAGACGTCTCTGCTCAGGGATGGTGACATGTACGGCTGGCCTGCAGAGAAACAGCAAACCTACCACTCACAGACAGAGCGCTGTGTTCTCCACCCCAGGGCCCTCACAATTGTGGGTTGCCAACCCCAGGGTCCAGCTTGGGTCTACCACCCCTTCCTACCTGCATTGTCACAGCCAATACTTACCAAATGTGGCTTCTGGCAGAAAGCTATGACATGTTGGAGAGAGGGAGGAGACAGAGTGAGGGATGGAGCTTCGTGCCCGAACCCTCTCTCCCAAGGGCTCGTGGGGGTCAGGGGGCCTCACTGGGTTTTTTGTTCATCAGAGACCTACCTGGGGCCAGCTCTGTCCTTCAGTTCTCCCTCCGAGAACCACATGGCCTGGAGTCCGGATGTGTCCCTGCTCTGGAGGTCCCACTGCTCTTGGGTCATGTTGCTCAGTTCCTGATACACGGGGCTGTGCTGTGCGGGGGGCAGTGGGGAGCTCGCATAAGAACTGCCCAGCGGCTGCTGTCCTCGCTGCAGCTGAGGGGCGGCGGCGTAACTCTCCCGCAGGGTTCTCCTCTCCACGCGTCTGTCGTGAATCCTCAGTATCTTGAAGGCATCCGCTTCCTTCTCCTCAGCCATGTTCTTGGTCACCGGAGTTCTGAAACACCTGGCCTTTTGGAGGTGGAGAAGCAGGCAGACTCAGCCAACAGAACCTCGGGCTCCCCATTCGCCTGGCTCCCTTGTGGCGAGACAAGAGAACTGAGGCAGAAATGCAAGCGAGCTGTGTGAGATCTAGAAAGATCTGTGACTGTCTCCTTGGGTGAGGCCTCTGGAGATTGGCTGCCAAGTGGACTTTTATACACTTAAGACTCCATTTCTGGTCATAGGATATCATAGACTCCATTTCTGGTCATAGGAGATCAAACTCACCCTTCAATCTGCCTGTCCACATTTCAAAAGAGGGTTCATTCTCAATAGACATGAAAACTCTAAGGTCACAGGAAATCTACACACACTGGGTTCTCACCCCTCCCCCCCACCACACACACACATTGGAAAGGGCAGCCTAGAGGAGTCAAGACCAGAAGCTCAAATAGAAGATGTTGTATTTGGTGGGATGAAGGTACAGAATGATGGAGAAGTCGGCCCAGCAGTGGTACTGTAATTCTGAGAACGGAATGGAATCACACATGGAAAATACTCCACATGGCGTGGTGCTGATGGCAAAGACTCAACAAATAGAAGACAGCACTATTTGTGGACCATGCCAGGGACCAGAGTCCTGAGGATTGAAGGCAAAGCAAGGGTTTTCTTGCCAGAAAATTCCATGACAGTGTAGCTTGCACGGTAGCTTGGCCTGTAGAGATTCTATCAGCAGAGCACAGTAGAGGTGTAAGGGCACAACAGTGGGGCAGGACATCTTCCAATGAAGAGAAATGGCCTGACTGCTAAACTCAATCCTGGACTCTCACCGAAGGTTCCAGAAGGCACCAGGGAAGACAAGATTATTGTATCTGACCTTGAACTAAATATGCTGCATAGCTCACCTCATTTCATCTCACAGCTGTGCATGCCACATTATAGGGGTGTGTGTGTGTGTGTGTGTGTGTGTGTGTGTGTGTTGTGCTGGGGTTCAAACACAGGGCCTTGTACATGCAAAGCGAGGGTTCTACAACTGAGCTAAGCCCTTAGACTGTACAGGACACATTTTATAGATTTAAAAACTGGGGCCGGATGCCTGTAATCCCAGCTACTCAGGAGGCTGAGATCTGAGAATCGTGGTTCAAAGCCAGACTGGGCAGGAAAGACTGCGAGACTCTTATCTCCAATTAACCACCAGAAAATCGGAAGTGGCACTGTGGCTCAAATGGTAGAGCATTTGCCTTGAGCTGAAGAGCTGAGGGACAGCGCCCAGGCCCAAAGTTCAAGCCCCATCACACACACACACACAAATAAACAACTGGAGCTCAGAATAGGTGAGCAACAAGATGATCAAACATCCATAGAGCACAAAGCAGCTCAACCCGGCCTTGTCTGGCTCTTTCCTCCCTTCCCATTAGAAGAAGGCAGGCACCATGGATCATCACTTTCAAGACATCTGCCTTTCACCAAGTATTTCCAATTTAAGGAATTTATCCGCTAAGTCCAACTGCATATATGCAAAATAACACACGTGTGTCAGAAAATTACATCATCATCTGTGAAAGCAGAGGATTGGATAAGACCCAAGCAATCCTAAGAGGAGACAGATGAAATAATTATAGCATATCATATAGTGGAAAAATACTAGACTGTGAAAAATAACAAGCGCATGTGCACTGGCATGGAGAATTCTGAGGTGTATTAATAAGTGGGAGAGGGAATGCAAAAGATATGACTTTTGTATAAGAGAAAGAGATTAAAATTTATCTTCATACATGTTTGCACATACACAAGAAATGTGGACGAGTATTTGCCTTTGGGGGATAGAAATGGGCAGATCAGAAAGAAGAATGGGAAGGAGATTTGTCACTGCGGGTTTGGTATTGTTTTGCATACTTGTGAATAGTTCCATCTAAGTTAAAAAACCGTTGAACCTGGAGCCTCAATCTCTAGTCTTTCCCCGTTTAGTTAATTTAACACATTTCCCCAAGGCACATCAGGTTTCCTTTAACCGGAACACAGGATAGATGCCTGGAGCACAAGTAGCTGCCATGATGTGGACCCTGAATGACTGATGAACCCAAGGCCTGCACCCCATTTATGGAGGATGGGAAAGCTTAAAACTAGTGTGGCAATTTAACCAGACTTCACCTTAAGAATATATGACCTACTAGGCACCCATGGATCATGCCTGTAATCCTAGTTTTTCAGGAGGCTGAGATCTGAGGATCACGGTTCAAAGCCAGCCCAGGCAGGAAAGACTGTGAGACTTTTTGTTTTGTTTTGTTTTTTGGGTCCGGTCGTGGGGCCTGAACTCTGAACTCTGGGCCTGGGCGCTGTCCCTCAGCTCTTCAGCTCAAGGCTAGCACTCTACCACTTGAACCACGGCGCCACTTCCGGCTTTTTTCTTTTCGCTTATGTGGTGCTGAGGAATCGAACCCAGGGCCTCATGCATGCAAGGCAAGTGCTCTACCACTTAGCCACCTTCCCAGCCCCAGTCTGTGAGACTTTTATCTCCAATTAACCACCAGAAAACAGAAAGTGGCACTGTGGCTCAAGTGGTGGAGCACTTGCCTTGAGCTGAAGAGCTTAGGGACAGCGCCCAGGCCCAGAGTTCAAGCCCCAAGACCACCACTAACAACAAAAGAGAATATATGACATTCTAGGAAAAGGTCCCTCACTTCTCTCTCCCAGAGCTGGGAAGTCAGAGACACCCCCCAGCTTTCCTCGCCAAAACTCTGTTCCAAACCCTCAACATGAAATACCGGTGGCTAAGGCCTCCAAACCAGCAAGACAAATAGCCCCACAAGTAGCCTGTAGCAGGAAACTCACCTCTGAAGGCTGAAGGTCAAATCCCAGAGATGGGAGGTCAAGGGCCATGAAGACTCACATAGGCCTAGGATCTCTCCCCTAGCCCTGGATCCTCCTTTCCACACCTGTCACTGTACCCCCAGCCTTCAGCGCTGCTGTTTTTAAACACTAGCCCTGTATCCTGCAGCCCTGGCTGGGAAGGAGGGCCAGGTGTCTGAATCCTAGAAGTCTGGTTAATCATGGGGCGTGCTACTCTGGGCTGACACTTCTATTCCTACTTGCTTCTCCCGCCAAAGACAAGATGGACAGCCCCAAGGAAATACATTCCAGGGGGCAAGATGGAGTGAGAAACTTTTGTGAGCTAAGTCTTTGGACAGGGTTCGGCCATCCCTGTAAGAGACCGGATTTAGGCAAGGCTGAGTTGGGCTCAAATTCCCATCTCCAGGTGAAGGCCCTGAGCTCCTGCGGGCCGATCATGACTGAAGCCAATAATGGGTGATTAGAGAGATGACTTTTTCTCGCTTCGTGGGAAGGGAGGGAGTTTCTTTGGGGGTGATGAAAACTTCTGAAACAATTGTACACTTCATAATGGCAGACTTCACGTTGCTGGGGGGGGGGAGGAGATAACGAAAGCAAAAGCAGACACGGGTTGGTGACATGACTCAGAGGCCGAGCGATCCCCATTGCTTTCCCCCCTTCTCTTCATCCAGCAAACTCCAGGCAATTTATTTGGCCTGGGGCTTTCTTGCTTTTTAGACGCAGGTCCCCCCCCCCTTCCCAGGACATCAGGGGAAGAGGAAGGGGTGTCCCTAGCATTTGAATGTTGGCCAACATCCTGGTTTGCGAGGGGAAGCGGGGAGGTTGGTCGGGATTCGAACCCCAAAACATCAGGGTCTGCTGATCTGTAAAGGAGGCGCTGGCGCCCTCTGGTGGACCATGGCAGGGCAGCCCGACCTAATGGAGTCCGTGGCCTCCGCCCTGGATTCGTGGATTGTGTTTCTTTTCAAATCCACCTTCACGAAATAGCGCCACCTTCTCCCGGCTGCTGCTCGCCCGGCCCAGCCGCGGCGGCCCTGCGTCCAGCCCCACCGCTCCGGGGCGAGGGGCGGAGGAGGCCGCGCGGGGCCGGGCCCGGTCTGTCCCGGGAGGGGGCTGGGGGAGCCGTCTTCCAAGCCCCCCCCCAGTCCTTCCCCGGCCCCCTTCCCAGCAGGGCCACAATGGCGGCCTCCGCGCCCACGTGGCGCCTCGTCCTTCCCACCGCACCCGGCCTGCCCGCCGTGCAACGCCGGGGCTCCCAGCCTGCATTCACCGCCTCCAAGCTCGGCTTTGTTCTCTTCCGAGTAGTACTTCCCGGGAAAGGGGTGCGGGGTGCAGGGGTGCGCCGTGGGCGCGGCATCCCGCGGGAGCCCCCTGCTTCCCACGGCCCCGGGCGCCTCCAAGGCCTCCGCGTCTCTGCCATCTTCGCTTCCACCCCAGCGGCCCCACGTGACCGGCCGCCCGCGTCCCCACCCCGTCCCCACCCCCGGGGGGGGGCTCCGGATCCGGGCAGTTGTTGCAGGAGAAGGGCCTCGTGTGGCGGCGGTGGCCTCCGCGCCGGCCACGCTCTCCCCGCCCTGCTTTGGAAGCTCCGGG